GAGACTCGGCCAGATCTGTGCACCGTGGCCCGAGACTCTGCCGGATCTGTGCACCGTGGCCCGAGACTCGGCCAGATCTGTGCACCATGGCCCGAGATCTTCGAATGATCGAGCATTCATCGGTGGGTCCGGGCGCGCTACGTTCGCAGATCCTACTGCACTCATCACGCCTGATCCCTCATCTGTTTCACGAGGCTCAGAGCTTCAGAGCGTGAGAGCGTGCACTGTATGGAGGGAGTACGGCCTGTGTCTCGCATAGCACTCTGTGGAAGCAGCACGGCCCGGTGTGTCGGACAGCACTCTGTGAAGGGAGTACGGCCTGGTGTCTCGCATAGTACTCTGCGGAAGGAGCAAGCACAGCCCGGTGTGCCGGACAGCACCTCGCATCTTCTCCGCTTGATGTCGGCTGACTTGACTGTTCTCTCTTCAACCTTGGTTTCTGAGAAAACCGACGTGGTCTTCGGAATTTGACCTCCCTTTCCCGCCGCTATCACCTCACCATTGCCGCTGGGTCCCGCGGTGCCCACAGCCAGGCCCACCGCAAGACGCCACCACAGGGATTGCCAGACATCCGCTGTTTGCCATAACCGTGCTTGGCACGACCCCACAGTGCGCTGTCATGGACACTCGGCACGACCTCACAGTGCGCTGTCGTGGGCACTCGGCGCGACCTCACAGTGCGCTGTCGTGAACACCCGGCACGACCCTACAGTACGCTGTCGTAGGCCCACAGTGCGCTGTCGTGGACACTCGGCGCGACCTCACAGTGCGCTGCCGTGGGTCCACAGTGCGCTGTCGTGGACACTCGGCGCGACCTCACAGTGCGCTGTCGTGGACACTCGGCGCGACCTCACAGTGCACTGTCGTGAACACCCGGCACGACCTCACAGTGCGCTGTCGTGAACACCCGGCACGACCCTACAGTGCGCTGTCGTGGACACTCGGCACGACCTCACAGTGCGCTGTCGTGGACACTCGGCGCGACCTCACAGTGCGCTGTCGTGAACACCCGGCACGACCCTACAGTGCGCTGTCGTGGACACTCGGCACGACCTCACAGTGCGCTGTCGTGGACACTCGGCGCGACCTCACAGTGCGCTGTCGTGGACACTCGGCGCGACCTCACAGTGCGCTGTCGTGGACACTCGGCACGACCTCACAGTGCGCTGTCGTGGACACTCGGCGCGACCTCACAGTGCGCTGTCGTGGACACTCGGCACGACCTCACAGTGCGCTGTCGTGGACACTCGGCGCGACCTCACAGTGCGCTGTCGTGGACACTCGGCGCGACCTCACAGTGCGCTGTCGTGGACAACTCGGCACGACCTCACAGTGCGCTGTCGTGGACACTCGGCACGACCTCACAGTGCGCTGTCGTGGACACTCGGCACGACCTCACAGTGCGCTGTCATGGACACTCGGCGCGACCTCACAGTGCGCTGTCGTGAACACCCGGCACGACCCTACAGTGCGCTGTCGTGGACACCCGGCACGACCTCACAGTGCGCTGTCGTGGACACTCGGCGCGACCTCACAGTGCGCTGTCGTGAACACCCGGCACGACCCTACAGTGCGCTGTCATGGACACTCGGCACGACCTCACAGTGCGCTGTCGTGGACACTCGGCGCGACCTCACAGTGCGCTGTCGTGGACACTCGGCGCGACCTCACAGTGCGCTGTCGTGGGCACTCGGCACGACCTCACAGTGTGCTGTCGTGGACACTCGGCACGACCCCACAGTGCGCTGTCGTGAACACCCGGCACGACCACACAGTGTGCTGTCGTGGACATTTGACACGACCCCACAGTGCGCTGTCGTGGACAGTCGGATGCGAATGAACGTGCACCAGCGCCATGACCATGGAATGTGTCAGTGAGCACATGCTGGGGTCGTTGCCAGGATGTGTCCGTGAGCACATGCTGGGGTCGTTGCCAGAATGTGAGCGTACAAGATCATATGACATAAGCTCAATGTTGCAGCGTAACCAAAGGAAATGTTCCACATTTCAAAATATTGAGGCAAGTATCATATTAATGAAATAATCTCACTTGTAACTAATGATATACTTTAAACGGGAGTGTTCCAAATTTGTATGGGATCTTGAGCTGAAATAGCCATATTGAGGATAATTTCGGTGCAGTTCACAGCATTGCCCTTCTTAAGACCTAAAACGCTATAGTTTCTGAGCTACATGGCCGCAAACATGTACAGACTATTTCAAGGTCATTTAGGCGTGCACGACGCTGTAGCAACATCATTTGAATGCTGCCACCCCATAGGCCATGTGCGATTGAGGGCCGGGAAGAATATTAACGCTCAGTAGCATTGTATATTTTCAACTTGCATTCACATGCTCGGTTATGGCGCTATTTTTACGTGATTCGATTTCAAGTTTTATTTCTGTAATTACTCGTGTCACTGTCCAACTTCCTGCATTACGCAGCACAACACATGGTTTGTGTTTGAAACTTGCACTGAGTGCAAAACTTTGAGAGCAAACGAAATCCGGCGGTACCAGAAATCGTGCCCACGTACGCCACAGGTGAAAAACTCGATGATCATATTTTCTTTGGCCTTGAATACCACGTGATCCATGGGTTGGCAGCATTTGCCTTGGCGTGTCGCTCAGTACTGTATCGGTCCCCCGACCCGCCGTATTCATCATTATCGCAAAAGCAGAGGTGTTATATGCAAGAAATAAAGAAAGAAATGTTGAAAGTTAATAAACTTGACTGGCGACACATTTGTAATGGAGAGAAACAACCTAATCGTTCGGGAATGCATGTCAGTGTCTGTCTATCTGTGTCTGTGTCCGTGCATGTAAAAATGTCTGCATAGCAAGCATAATGCCATCAGGAATGATCATTCTGATCGATGTCGTCGGCCAGCAAAATAAGGCTGACTAACTGCGGTGCAATAAGTATATCCCGCATACCTGGGCACCGGACGTTTTGGTAGAATTTGGAGCACGGGTAGGGCACCAGACACAGAAGTCAGCAACCATCTCTGTTAGCGGATGACCAAGCAGTCCACAGTTCAGTTCCTCTTCAAGAATTATCTTTATCTCTTCAGCTACTTTCTAAGCCATGGCAGCAATAAATTGACTTGCACAATAGTGACGACTAAACCGTACACAAGTAGTATCACATTAGCCCCAGCACTAATGATACTGATGTGCACATCAGCGTATACAGCAGCGTAGCCATCAGTCCCGGCGCTGATGCACACTGATGTACACATCGGCGTATACATCCGCGTACTCATCAGTCCTGGCGCTGATACACACTGATGTACACATCAGCGTATACAGCAGCGTATACATCAGCCCCGGCACTGATGCACACTGATGTACACATCAGCGTATACAGCAGCGTATTCATCAGCCCCGGCACTGATGCACACTGATGTACACATCAGCGTATGCAACAGCGTAGCCATCAGCCCCGGCGCTGATGTAACGCAGGCGGCCGCACCCGCCAGTTCCTGGCGTTCAAAGCCAAACTAGCCTCTCTTATATAGACGATCAATATGTAGTATCATTCGACATCTATCCGAGGACTGCTGAAAACAAACAGCTATAAGTATGATTTGCGGTTAAATTAAGATGCATACCACCTCGCCGTGATCACCATATTGCTGTCCTGCTGAACATGCGCCCGGGTGGCCGGCTAGATAGCCTTCGTTCGGGTGGGGCGGTCAGTTTGACCCGCCTGAGATCTCGAGAACTAAGAAAATTAGACACCAAATTTACAGGGTGTACTGACCTGTACGTGAACTGACTTAGGTCAAAGTTTCAGATTCCTGGGTCATGACATTCGGGTCCAAAAAGGTCAAACAAGGTCACGTTCCAGGTTGGTGTACAACGTGCCCCCAGGACGTAGATTACCGTTTCTATGCAAAAGGTAACATTCTCATTTCAGTTTAGTGACCTTGCTTAACCTTTTGAAGGTCAAGGTGACCAAAATCATACAATATTGCTTTGAGTTTTGCGTTTGGCTAGGCGACAAAGATTACGCTGGGCAGTATGCTCCTAAAACAAAATGTTGACCTATGTCATTTTAGATCAATGGCCTATTCTGACCTCTAAGAAGTCCATGGAAGATGTATAATGCGGTTCCTGCTATCAACAAACTTGAAATGAGCACCAGAAACTATCCCATACAGCAAGTCGGCGAGAAACAAAACAGATTCATTTTGACTTTGATGTGACCTTCATATCTGACCTTAGGTCAATTTAATTTGTGCATTCGACTGCTGTATTATCGAAGAGAGCATCTCAGTTATGTTTGGCTTTGTCTAACGCTCCGTTGTTGTATCAGACTGAAGGATTCCCTAGAAATTGCCTGCGCTGAAACCATGACCTGACTTTGACCTGCCATAGGTCAGCGACCTTACAGGGTGCATCTAAATTATTGATAACGAACGATCCGCTATTTAATTGTCTACAGCTATGCAAAATTGGGCGTGGCTACGCTGCGCTGTTCTGAAACTATTCTGGAAAAACGTTCGGGGGGGGGGGGGCGGCAATTTGACCCCATCCGAGCGCGTGTTGAGCATGGGCGCGGCTTCTGGCGCCAGAAATTCGCCGTTTACATAATGCGTAGCGTAGCCCGGTTCAGATCTAAGTCGAGCAGACGGCTACGCTGAAGTAAATGCATAGCTGTAGAAGATTCCGTTTTAATCGGCAGCCTAGGAACGAGATGCCCACTTCAATACCATTTTTGGTTCGTTATGGCTCTTTTGAGCTGAATGGGCTGTTTGTTATGGGACTGAGGGCACTGACAAGTTTTCGATATAAGCACAGTAATACTGCGGAAAATGGTGTTAGCCTAAGGTAGGAAAATGCATATTGGTGAATAAAAATACAAAATACATGGGAAGAATATGCGGTAAATCTCCATGAACCAAACTAAAAAAAAGGTAGACTTCACGCGTTTGAGCCCATTGGGCAAGCTTTCGAAGTTAGACAAGTAGAATGTTGCGGTATATCTTCCTCACCTAAATGGTATGATTCGTTTTGCCGGACGTACGCTCCTCCGGTGACAGGGTGTCTGCAGAATGCTGTCCCTGCAATATTCGTATCCTGCTTCATATCCTGCAGTATCACTATGCTACTACTACTTGAGGCGATCGCATCGCGATGCTGTCAGCTGAGCAGCAAAAGCGCCATGTTTCCAAGCCACGCAATGTCCGTACAATGTCTCAGTTGTTTTGCACGGACGGGGCCACTCCGCGTTCGTGCCACATTCCTAGCCTTGTTCTCGAAAAAAATATGGAAAACCTGTTGGACAATCTCTGCACAGCCATGCAACGACCTTCCGACAGTCGGAGCCTGCAGCGCGGGCAGTTTGACACTATCCGTTGCTATCTGACCGTTGTTCACTGCTGCAGCAGCCAGCCATGCAGCCAAGGTCAGTCTGCGCCGGTGCTAGTGCAGTGGAGCGGCCTCAGCGCCGCAGCACGCGGCCAGCCAGTGACGGAGCCAGCGGCTGCTCTGGGGCGGCTGCAGCCAGACCTAGACACCCGGCGTTTAACTGTGCGCATGTTACAGTGCTTCCGCAATTTGATCTCACCGTCAATCTCACACATTTGAAGACATTGAAGGAGGCATGAGACATGATGAAATAAACTCACTTTAACTAATGGTATAATTTTAAAGGCAGTGTCCCGAATTTGTATGGGGATTTTAACTCAAATAGTCATCCTGAAAGTCATTCGGTGGAGTTCACAACCCTGCCCTTCTTAAGAGCTAGACTTCTCTAGTTTCTGAGCTACGCGCCCGCGAAGATGTGCAGACTATTTCGGGGAGACTATTTTGGGATCAGCTTGGCATATCAATCAAATCAAATTAAATAATCTCAAATAACTGGCTCTCAATCAATGATGTGCAGGACACAATGACGCAACAAAACATGGTGTATTGAGAAACACTTAATAAGCAGAGAAATCGTGTTGTCTGGAGCAGTATTTTCCACTTCAAAGTAAAACAATAGTTATAAGTGAGCTCATGTCATCAATCTGATATTTTCTCCAAGATCTTTAACTACGAAGCATTCCCTTTAACCCGGTACGGGCGGGGTTCCTCAAAGGCCCACCAATGACCGGAACGGGTAGGTTTGACATCCCTCCTATCCCAAGGACGGTTGGGACGAAAAAATCAGATTGCAATCAATATTGGTGTGACGTGCGGTCATAGGCCATGCAACGAACTTAAATTTAACATGCTAATCTGAAATAACTGACCACTCCAACAGCACATTTCAGTTAGGAGCATGTCTTATGGTGTGATATCACTGCGCCATGATCAAATATGCTTCATAGCAAGGTATGCCATGCTACGCACACCGTGCCAGGTCTAGAGCCAAGGTCACGTGCCGTGCAAATAAGAGCTAAGGGTGTTGAGGCAGCACTTACCTTTGATCAAACATGTATATTATATATATATATATATATATTTGTTTGATAAAAAATTACTGCTGCCTCAACATTGGTGAGCTTTTTGACGTATCGTTCTAGTCGGGCTTCTGACTTGGCATTACCGTTTAGATTAAAGACGGTTCACGCAAAATTACTCATTTAGTCGTCGCTCTTTACGTTCTTACGTTTCGGGACCCTATCTCATCGTTGGAGAAGACTGAATGACACAAGAAATAAGTTTTGAGTTTTAAAGGATAAAAATTGTGCACTGCTGTCGGAAGCATCTTTTGGTACGGAGAACATAAGTGAAGCGCGGCTAATTGGGGTAAGAGAGAATGCTATTTTCACTATGATACGTATAAAATAAACTCATAGTGGGAACATGACAAATACACAAACATGTTGCCACAATTGCACCAATAGTGCTCACCACCTACCACATAATAGTTCAACGGTTGTACAAGAATTGGTTTGTCTGTTTTGGGCTGGAGAGAATTGGTTAATGAACATACTTCCCCAAATTTGAAGGCGTCTTCTGTCATTGCAAGTCCGAAAAATGTCAGTGTTGTCTATCAGTAATTGTCGTGTCAATATCCTGCCATCACTGATGCCAATGCCGCTGTTGGTGGCATACACTTTTCCAAGACAACGGATGAATTTGCGCCTGGTTTTGCTCATGGGTCTGTACAAACTTACAAAAAGGGCAATCCCCTTCGTCTAATAATTTCACAGGTCCCTTCACCCATGAATTGCAAAACGTCTTAATGGCCTTCTGTCCCCATATCTTCCCATGCCCTACAGCTTGCCGTTAACGGATGAGTTTATTGATATAGTGCGATCTCGTCAACCTAAGGGTCTTTTAGTCCCTCTGGATGTTGAAAATACATTTACAAACGCGCCCATTGAAAGAACCATATCCATCATCCTTGCCCGTGTTTAAAATCATCCCAAAATCCCCCTATGAAAACATCAAAGCGCCTTCTTGAACAATTATTAAAAGCCGGTACGTTTGAAGTTCCTTTCCGCGGGCCTGATGGACGAATGTGTTGCCAAATTGAGGGTGTTGCGATGGAATCACCTCCAGGACCTCTATTTACTAATTTCTTCATGGGACATATAGAAGCCGATACACTACAAAACGATGATATAAGACCGGACATTTACTGTCACTATGTTGACGAGATCCTTGTGAAAGTTAGGGACATTGGCCAACTACGACGTCTCAAAAACATCTTTGAAGAGCGGTCTGATTTAAAATTCACAGAAGAACTAAGTGTATAAAACATAATACCCCTCTTAACGTGACTCTTGGTGGACAAGGAGAGCGATTTAAAGCGACTGAACACCGAAAGCAGACGGACAATGGACGGTGTTTAAATGCCGACAGCGAATGTCCTTGACGCTACAAAATTAGCGTTATAAGGATTAGATGCCCATTCAAACACTACTCTGATTGAACAGGACTGCATTCAGAGCTGGTAAGAATCAGACAGATATTGGTGAACAACCCTTTTTCAAATTCTGACGTCGAAAACGACATACAACGACATTCGATAAGACACTTTGATGGTAAACCAAGACAAGACCACCAACCAACCGTCAAACTGTATTATCAAAATAAAATGGCGTCTGGCCACAAACAAGACGAAAAATCTCACGGGAAATCATCTCTCGACATGCAAAAGGCAAGAACGACCACAAAATAGACCTCGTAATTTGTTAGCGCGATAATACAATATCTAACTGTCTTATGAGAAACAGACCCGACAATATCTAACTGTCTTATGAGAAACAGGCCGGACAACCCAAACAACTAAAATGCACTAATGTGGTGTATCAGTTCTTATGCAATATCGATGGCTGCAAATTTCGTGTTCCACACACTACATTGGTGCGACCAGGACGACACTCTCACGGCGCCTGACAATGCACTCACGTGACGGGACACCCCTGGACCACGACACTCTCACGGCGCCTGACAACGCACTCACGTGACGGGGCACCTCTGGACCGACACCTCTGGACACCTCTGGACCACACGCGACACGAACACGACAGGACATTGACACTACTAACCGACAACATTTACATTTTACGGACGTGCAATGACAGAAGCCGTCTCCAAATTTGGGAAAGTATATTAATTAACAAACTCTCTCCAGCCCTAAACACACAAACAAATTCTTGTACAACCCTTGAAGTATTACGTGGTGGGCGGTGAGCACTATTGATGTGATTGTGGCAATATGTTCGCGTCTGAAATATTCCCATTATGAGTTATTTCATATGTATCAAAGTGGAAATAGGATTCTTTCTTATTTCAATTAGCCGTCCTTCAGTTACGTTCTTCGTACCAAAAAAACGTTTTTTCCAATAGTAATGCACATTTTCTATCCTTCAAAACCCAAAACGTATTGCTTGTGTCATTCAGTCTTCTCCGATGATGAGATAGAATATCGAAACGTGAGAATGTAAAGAGCGACGAATGTATGAGCAATTTTGTGCGAAACATATTTAATCTAAGCGATAATGCCACGTCAAAAAGCCGAAAACTAGAATGATGCGTCAAAAAGCTCGTCAATGCTAAGCTAGCAGTCATTCTTAATCGAACATGCATAAAAGAAAGGATTCTGATAAAATATTCCAAGAGAGAGAGAGAGAGAGAGAGAGAGAGAGAGAGAGAGAGAGAGAGAGAGAGAGAGAGAGAGAGAGAGAGAGAGAGAGAGAGAGAGAGAGAGAGAGAGAGAGAGAGAGAGAGAGAGAGAGAGAGAGAGACATATATATAATATAATATATATATATATATTATATAATATATGTACATATACATATACATATACATCTCTCTCTCTCTCTCTCTCCTCTCTCTCTCTCTCTCTCTCTCTCTCTCTCTCTCTCTCTTCTCTCTCTCTCTCTCTCTCTCTCTCTCTCTCTCTCTCTCTCTCTCTCTCTTCTCTCTCTCTCTCTCTCTCTCTCTCTCTCTCTCTCTCTCTCTCTCTTCTCTCTCTCTCTTCTCTCTCTCTCTCTCTCTCTCTCTCTCTCTCTCTCTCTCTCTCTCTCGCTCTCTCTTATGGTTTATTCATATCCGTCATGATTCAACCATATAACCCGAATTGGGAGAACTGAACCGCAATTATGGGCATCAGACACGTGAGTAAAAGCTGTTACTTGGTCATAAACCGTCTAATAATAAGACCAAATGGATGCCCTCTGTGATGAATAAGCGGTTGGATCGATTTTGGCGTTGGTTTCGACGGTTGACCGCTACTGATTGCGTAGCCTGATACCCCTCGACCGTACCCTCAACCCTACCCCACAACGCGCCGCTAGCTACGCCGCCGTCGGTGCCCACGTGAAAGTGAACGGCTTCCGCTGCCCCGTCGCCGCGCCGCCGCAGCAGACCTGAGCCCCGCCGCCCGCCGCCGCAGCCCGGACTTATTTGGGCACAGGCAGCAGGCGCTGCAATGCATTTGAAGCCATGACTCAGTCACTGTTACAAATGATCGTTTGAAACTTAGTAGAGACATCTTTCATAGTCGTTTCTAGGGCAACTTCTTTTATGTTTTCATAATTGTTGAATCTGATGACAAAAAAATATTGATTGCCCTTAATGAGCATTCTGTTGTTTGACGTGGCAATAGTTAAACGTGCAATATTGAAACAACACAACAAAACCATGAATGGTGTAAAAGTTGGCTTACATTTCCCGTGTGCAGATAAAAAATGTATTTTTCGTTGGGCTTCTTTGACCATTTCGCTACGGCTATGTGCTTTTGTAACAAAAATCGGCAACTATAGACGGCAACTCACTCTGGCGCTTGTCACGCTTAACCTATTATGAGGTCATACTTATCAACTGGCACGCAGCACAGAACTCATCGAGTGACAGCCTCTGAGAATTTCGCGGCCATATGTCAAGGCGCTTTTGAATTATCGCGAACAATTGAATTGATAATAACTGAATACAATATTGGACCGGGAGAGTACATATGAACCCCTCCCCGTGGTCGACGCCGGCTTAAGAAAGACCAGGCTGTGAAATGCAGCAAAAGATCTTCAAGATGGCGCTTTACCAAAGGATCTTCTAGGTGTCGATACCCGTTCGAAACCCATACAAATGTGGAATTTTCATTTCCTGGGGCGCGGTGCATATGTAAGCGCGGTCATTTCAGACCAAGTCCCCAACAGTTGGAGACATTTCAGACCAAGTCCCCAACAGTTGGTGACATTTCAGACCAAGTCCCCAACAGTTGGAGACATTTCAGACCAAGTCCCCAACAGTTGGTGACATTTCAGACCAAGTCCCCAACAGTTGGTGACACGGTTTGTTTCGTACCGCTCCCACGCGCGGCCAAGATGGGCGGGTCTTCCCTGGAGTCGTTCCTGCCAGGGGATCCACCCGGGGCCACACGCGGGCCGGGACGGCACACGTGGTCGGACCGCCGCTGGCAGACCTGCACAGCTGGCACGCGGGCGTCCACAGGCCGTGGCGTAATTACAGTAGCGGCCGGCTCCGAGTCACCCAACACTCTCAAATGCCTAGTACCAGCCGCGTGCCTGAGCAGTGTGTCATGCCGTTGTTTCATGCTGACCCAATCTTAGGGTCAAGTCACTTGCACGTTGCATGTGAATATTTGGATCATGAGCGGACGCAAAGCCTTGGTGGTATTGGAGGTGCTATCATGCATTGACGTAGACACCATATAATTCAAAGAATGGAGGTGCCTAATAAACACATCTTTATCCTGGTCTGTTTCTGTCGAACCAGGCAGTACGTTCAAGAAGTTTTTGTATTTTCGCCAGACGAAATAATCACATTTAAGGTTTACATTTTCATTTTTATCCATTTAACGCTCAAGACACATCAAAAGCACCATTCGCTGCCCAAGCACAAAGTTCCGTCCGATGTGAATCCAAGCTGAATTCAAATTGAAGCATCCGAAACCAAAGCCAAACGTGTCGCGGTCATAGGTCTACTTCTTTCGACGTCACCAGCCCCTGTCCAATCAGATGACTCCTGCGCAGCGCGTGACGCAGCTCCCAGGCCAACATTGTGGGCAAACGATGACGTCAGGTAATCACGTAACTTAGCGGTCAAATCGCCGGATGACCACACCTGACAAACGGAACCTTGACGTACCGTAAGTTGCCACTCGCTGTCCGAGAGTGACACCCGGGAAGTAACAGCCCGACAGCAACAGCCCGACAGTAACATCCCCGGGCCCCTTGCTGAAAAAGCACCACCGCCACGCACCGGTGCGCTAGACACCTACATCGGCTACCAAGCGCTGGTCGTCGCGGCAGGTGCGCACAGGCGGGCATGTGTACTGAAACATTGACTTGGCCGCCTGAATACACCACGGGCGTAGTGCCAACAATATAAACCTACTGCCTGCCACACTACGGGTAGGTTACGGACTACGCGCAGGCACGAAGTCATCAGCAGGTCCGATCGTTTAAAGAGACCCGTAGAATCATCGCCGGCTCTCAAAGTGGGAAATAGCCAAGCACAGGGGTGTAGCTCCGCTACATAAATTGGGCTGAGCTAAACCACTGTTTCAATATACACGAGGTGGGAGGCGCTGAGGAACAGGAAGCTTGATCAGCCCGTGCACGTTTTCTCTGGGTCCGCATGTGGTAAGCGCGTGCAGAGGTGCCCGGGATCGTTATACGGATAGCTTGAACCTTCTCCTGAAGAACTCCGATGCCTCCCGTCTTGTGAGCATCGGCAACCATCGCCCCGCTTCCAACGGCCACGCTCCCAGCGGAGGTCACGACGAAAGCGCAGCGCGGTGGCTAGACCCGCCGCTGACGCTGAGACACCCACGCCACCGCCAGCGGTACCAGAAGCATGCTCGGCCTTGAGCCGACGGCCGCCGACGATCGGTCGGACACCACCTTGGCCACGTCGTCTGCAGTGTTGCACAGGTCGACCTGGCACGTGGCTTGACACGTGCGCGTGTTCTGTTCGGTGTTGTTGACGCAGGAGAACTTCTCCTCGCTGGTGCAGCCCCGCTCCACTTCGAACGGATTGTCTGACGACGGCAGGCTATCTGTCCTGCTCACCTGCGGCAGCCACCAGGCACGGTCACACACAGACGCCACCCACCTAGCATAGCATGTGGGCCCGGCTGGTTGTCATTGCTTTTTATGAAAGGCACGTCGCGCCGCATCCGTATTGTATCCTTCGCGCCGTGGCCGTGTTGTATCCCGTGCCGCATCCGTATTGTATCCCTCGCGCCGTAGCCGTGTTGTATCTCGGTGCCGCATCCGTATTGTATCCTTCGCGCCGTAGCCATGCTGTATCCCTCGCGCCGTAGCCGTATTGTATCCCCGCGCAGCATCCGTATTGTATCCCTCGCGCCGTAGCTGTGTTGTATCCCGTGCTGCATCCGTATTGTATCCATCGCGCCGTAGCCGTGCTACATCCCGTGCCACATCCGTATTGCATCACGCGCAGCATCCGTATTGTATCCCCGCGCAGCATCCGTATTGTATCCCCGCGCAGCATCCGTATTGAACCCCTCGCGCCGTAGCCGTGTTGTATCTCGATGCCGCATCCGTATTGTATCCCCGCGCCCCATCCGTGTTGCATCCCCGCGCGCGCCCCATCCGTGTTGTACCCTCGCACAGCATCCGCATTGAATCCCCTCGCAGCATCCGTACTGTATCCCCGCGTCGCATCCGTATTGTATCCCTCGCGCCGTAGCCGTGTTGTACATCGGTGCCGCATCCGTATTGTATCCCCGCGCCCTACCCGTGTTGTATTCTCCGCGCCGCATCCCTTTCGTATTTTCTGTCGTAAACCACGAACGACTGCGGCGACCCTGTCTAACATTCACGAGTTCAGGCGGGCATCACATCCTGACACTGGGTCAGGCGGGCATCACATCTGGACACAAGGTCAGGCGGGCATCACATCAGGACACTGGTCAGGCGGGCATCACATTAGGACACTGGGTCAGGCGGGCATCACATCCGGACAATGGCCTGCGCACGCAGACAGTCGGTACGCAGAGGATCCGCACCAAGCGGTAGGACTGCAAGGGCAGACAGCCGGTGCGCCGGAGATTCTCACCAGACAGTAAGGCTGTGAGGGCAAACAGTCGGTCTGAAGGCGGTTGTCGGCCAAGGCTACCGTGCCGTTGGCACACTCTTCCCTCGAGCTGAGCTGGCAGGAGACGCAGCGCAGCGCCGACGCGCTCTGCGCGAGCAGCAGCAGCAGCAGCGGCAGCGCCAGACAACGCCCGCTGACCAGCATCAGACGCCGGCCCCTGACCAGGTCGGCAGCTACACGGACAGTGACAGGCTTACTGCACTGATCGATCGAGCACGGCTATACGACACGTGACGCGTCTGGTTCGGACCGCATGTGCAACAAAGTCCACTTCAAAGCATCAAACCAACCGTGCCGACCGCCGTCCGTTGGCCACGACTAACCACCCCGTGCGCCGGTGTGTGTGTGTGAGGGGGGGGGGGGAGGGTTTACGACGCACTTAGCTGCTGAGCCTACATGGCATCGCCTGCCTCTCACCACGGCAGGAAGGGCGGGCACCGCAGGGAATCGAACTCGGTAATTCTGGTTTCCCAGACGTGCGGCGAGAGAGGTCGTCAATACTATGGCATCACGCAAACATATATAACTCTTCCACAGAATGTGGAGGCACCGGCACGCGAGGAGCGCTTCACTCTGGTCCGACAAGTTAACAGTGCTGGAGCAGCAGCCACAAAGAATGACTGTACGACGATGCACGGAGAATGAAACCCATCCGTAACTCGCGGCGTCGCTGCCGTCCACAGCTCAGCTCGCGGCGTCGCTGCCGTCCATAGCTCAGCTCGCGGCGTTGCTGCCGTCCACAGCTCAGCTCGCGGCGTCGCTGCCGTCCACAGCTCAGCTCGCGGCGTCGCTGCCGTCCACAGCTCAGCTCGCGGCGTCGCTGCCGTCCACAGCTCAGCTCGCGGCGTCGCTGCCGTCCACAGCTCAGCTCGCGGCGTCGCTGCCGTCCACAGCTCAGCTCGCGGCGTCGCTGCCGTCCACAGTTTAGCTCGCGGCGTCGCTGCCGTCCACAGCTCAGCTCGCGGCGTCACTGTCGTCCACAGCTCAGCTCGCGGCGTCGCTGCCGTCCACAGCTCAGCTCGCGGCGTCGCTGCCGTCCACAGCTCAGCTCGCGGCGTCGCTGCCGTCCATAGCTCAGCTCGCGGCGTCACTGCCATCCACAGCTCAGCTCGCGGCGTCGCTGCCGTCCACAGCTCAGCTCGCGGCGTCGCTGCCGTCCACAGCTCAGGCTCACAGTCACAGCTTCACATTCATAGACGGCGGCGAGGATGTGACGAATGCGCCGACATCTCCGACGCTCCAGAACAAGAAGTTGTTCCGTGCTCGGATGGACGTTTCAGATAAGCATGGGTTGTTAGTTTTCAGTCGATTTTATTGGTTAAGTGAAGTCAGGTACGGACCACTAAAGTTCTGTTACATTTGTGTTCGTATGCTTAAAATACGTATCATGGTGACGGCTAGTTAAACGTTTATTTGGCCAATCGGAAGCCCATGGGTAACGAGGGATGAAATAATAAAAAACCAGGTTACACAAGAAAAGTTAACTAGTTAAGCAATACCACAGAAATAAGTCAAAAATCTGTTCAATTCTCAGCCGGGATTAAGGATTTAAATAAGCATTAGGTCGATTCAGAGAAAAATTACATAGATCATTCGAACCCGAAACAATTGGCTGTGGTCATCATCTCCATCTTCAAAATGGTTTCGACACCGTAGGGCTGAAAATACCTTTGCCAAAACTAAATAATCGTGGTATAGCTCAACACGACAACATGAAATTGGGTGAACCGAAAACAAGCACATTTAAGCGCAATATCAATCATTTAGTTACGGCGCAATCAACTGACCTGTGGACCACGAAACGTAGGAGTACATAACGATTCTATGAAAACTCGCTCGTTCTGTCCACACTCTATGTCAACACTCTGTGTTGACAGAACGTCAGTACTCTGTCAGAAACTTGCTCTTTCTGCGGCGGAGATCACGCGAGATTCTGTGATGTGCACTTCTGAGTTGTGTGTATCTGTAAACAAACAACATTCTCAGTAAAGCAATACTGCATCACGGTGATATCCACAGTATAGCAGGCGGGGATATACCAGTGCGAAGCGGGATCAGAAAATCCGAAACACAAAGTCAGCAGTCATATGACAAAATACTGTAATCCACGTAAAAATTTCCTTTTCTACGTGCATGGCAAAATCTTTACTTCAGTGTTGTCGAAACGTCATCGAATTCGGGTTAAAATGGGTTGCATGTGCCGGGCCATTTTTGCCGTGCCGTGCAGAAGTAACAGCATTTTTACTGCCAATGGCACATCACCATCTTGCAGTCAAAACTGAAATTAAACGATAACGCACTTCAACATTTGTTTAATGTCCTTGAACGCCCAAATAAGCCCAACAGTAGTTTATCGTGGATATAAAAATTCATTGCACAGCAGCCAAAACCGTGATCGACAGCAACTTGCAATATCCCTTTAAAGGGGGGTTTTCCCGTCTTTACATTCCAGCATCCCAACCTATCATGGTAAGTGTCGTAATCAATGACCCATAACGGCCCGGTCACATACAAATTAGCGGCACGTATTCCCTTATTTATCGGATGAGCGAAAATAGGGTATCATTTCAGTTATAGAATATATCGTTGCTATGTCTTCCCTTATTCACAGAATGTGGAATAAGTAAATCTAACCTCGACATCAGCAAGGAAGGCCCTGAGCTCTTCAATCCAAGAGTTGGCACGTTGGAAGTCAATCAGTACAAAAAACTTCAAAGATAACGGTTTAGTGGATCCTGATCTACGCAAACTTGGGTTATGCCGCATGGGTTATGCACATTGAACATTCATCTATTTCTTCATGAGAATGGAAGAGATGGAATAGCATACATACTACAGACCCAATAAGATATCGTCGTCTATCGTGACCACGATAACTAGAAAATAATATAGCGATGTTGAAAGTGCCGGAAGCCTTCTAGCGTTACATTATCTCATACTGCAGTTTGTTATGAGCTGATGCTGACGTCATAAAATGTTTAGTCCAGGGTCTGCCTTCCATCAAAGAAGTGTCCGCAACACCTCCGTTATTGTTGCAGTGATTCCGTGAGACGTTCCACACTTCTGACACTCGGATGTACCACCAGTGCACTGTTTACCATCTGAGTGGTCTGGTTACATCTGAGTGGTATTCAACATAGACATACTACAGACAGTTACAGACATTCGAAAGACACACTACAGACAGTTAAACATACTACAGACAGTTACAGACAGTCGAAAGACACACTACAGACAGTGAGACGTGCTACAGACAGTTGCAGACAGTTGAAAGACATACTACAGACCATTGCAGGCAGTTGAAAGACATACTACAGACCGTTGCAGACAGTTAGCAGGTAAGCAGGCGGTCGCGCTGCCGTCCACCCTTCAACCGCCAGCCGCGACGTTCAAACAGATCAAAAGCACGGGTTCAAGGGCTGACTGCAGACTCAACTGCAGACACTGACTGCAGGCACACACTGACTCAAGTCCACAACTGCAGTTGTGGACCCGCAGAACGGATCATGGCGGGCGAAATGTGAGCAAAGTTGCATGCATGTATCATGTATATGCTTTCTTTGCATCGTGATGCATTTCATCGTTTTGGGAGGTGGGCTGCTTACACCTTACTACTCGAACATCGGAGTATACAAGCAAAAGAAAACCCCACGTTTCGAGACTGTGCCCATCGCCACCAATGGCCCATTGTTGTACTGATCATTTTATTTCCGACATGAAAACTCGTAACGCTTAACAGCCAGCCCAATACCGTCCTTCCTGGTATGGTGAACAGCCAGCCCAACACCTTTCTTCCTGGTATGCTGAACAGCCAGCCCAACACCTTTTTTCCTGGTATGCGGAACATCCAGCCAAATATCTTTCTTCCTAGTATGCTGAACAGCCAACCCAATACCTTTCCTCCCGGTATGCTGAACAGCCAACCCAATACCTTTCCTCCTGGTATGCTAAACAGTCAGCTCAACACCTTTCTTCCTGGTATGCTGAACAGCCAGCCAAACACCTTTCTTCCCGGTATGCGGAACATCCAGCCAAACACCTTTCTTCCTAGTATGCTGAACAGCCAACCCAATATCTTTCCTCCTGGTATGCTGAACAGCCAACCCAATACCTTTCTTCCTGGTATGCTGAACAGCCAGCCCAACGCCTTTCTCCCTGGTATGCTGAACAGCCAGCCCAATACCTTTCTTCTTGGTATCAATAAAATCGTGTTATGCACTCGTGCATGCATGACATCCAGTTACCCAACGAGGATATCGCCCGGCGATAAAAGTAACTCGCATGATTATCTTACAGATAGTCATTTTGTCCACAAGTTTACAATAAGAAACGTGGCATAATATCTATAAGTATACTGAATCTCCAGCCTCACTGCATGCAAACAAGACCGTATTAGTGGCAGCGCCGCAAACACTGAATGCTCATTTTTTCATTAAAATGAGATGAAACTCAATCTAGACGTCATAATGCCGCTGATTTAACAAAAACGGAGAACGGAGCTTTTCATGCCCCAAGTATCCCGATTAATTTGCATTGAGCGACATTTCGTAAAATGTTGGTCAGATGAGACATACGAATGCACCTTACGTCGACACTGAGCTCCATGCTCGGCGTTAAGCCAGGTCCCAGCGGTCCGATGAAAACGCCGTGCTGGGACAGAATTTCGCTCACTTCCTTCTGATGTTAAGAAATAGGGGTGTCGATCTGTATTCTTCTGTGATGTCTCTGCACTCCCCGCCCAGTGCTGTGTTGCACCCAAGCAGCAATGTTGGTTTGGGAGTGCCGAATAGTCTTGCAGAGCGTAAGATACTTTTTAACAGATGTATCACAAATATTCTGCTTAAGCCAAAGACCATCTGACAACTTTGTCACATCTTGTTTTGTATCTGTGTTTGACCCTTACACAATGTTCTCCGCTGGTTTACAGTGGTCCACATTTTTGTAACATGCATGGTACAGAAATGAACACGCAGAAATTGTCGCTTGTCAAAAGTGTTGGCAAAATACGCTGACGAGCACCCGATTGGCGATGTCCGGTTTCCTGACACTCCGCTCAGCAGCCAATTATCTATACAAATCGACACTGTTGGTGCGAATGGCTTCACATACTCAGCCGAATATCACTGACGTCATATCTCTAGGTGATGCCTTACGGCATACAGTCGGGCCAAAAGAGCCCGTAAAAATTCATCACCAGGGACGTCACACACTCAGGCGAATCGGCAGAGCCTTCATTCAGCACGCCTATGTTTGTTATAGACAGGTACGATAGGTGAGAATGGAACATGATCTCTGAGCCTGATGTTAAGTCGAATACCAGTAGGGTCATATCGTCAGCTAATGCCTTGCGGCTTTCAGTCCGTCCAAAAGGACCCGTAAACCTCATGCCAAGTGATGTCACACGAAAGGTAAAGATGTAACACGGCCTGTTTCGCCTGATGCTTAGTCGAATACCACTGATGCCATGTCATCTGTTGGTGCTTCACGAGATATGATGCTCCATGGCCTTGGGCGGCTGACTTGAACCCGTATAAACTTACGACCAGTGACGTCACACACTCAGGTGATTGGGCAGGGCTTTCTTTCAGCGCGTCAATGCCTGCAGTAGACAAGTACGACAGGTTAAGATGAAATGTGGCCTGTTGCGCATAATATTTGGTCGGATACCTGTGAAGTCATACCACTTAGTGATGCTCCACGGGATATGATGCTTCGTGTTCTTGGGGCCAAAGTGCAGTCGTATTAAGTCGTGAGCAGTGGCGTCACGCACTCAGGTGATTCGGCAGAGCCTTTATTCAGCGCGCAAACACTCGGCAGAACCTTTCTTCAGCACGCAAATAGTTGCAGTAGACAGGAAAGAAAGGTGAAGATGGTCTGAATAGAATATGGCCTGTTGCGCCTCATGTTTAGCCGGATACCAGCAACGTCATATCGTCAGCTGACGCCTTACGGAATTCAGTCGTCCCAAAGAAGCCCTCAAAGCCCACATCCAGCGACGTCCAATACTCAGTCGAATCCCAGTGACATCATATCGTCAAGTAATGCCTTATGGCCTTCCGTCGGTCCGAGAACCCAGTGACGTCACAATGTCAGCTGACGCCCCCTGCCTAGATGCGGCATGGTCGTACACACGCCTTGCAGCCAGCGTAGCTCTTCCCCCCCATCGGCGGGGCGGGTACGAAAGTAACATTTTACCATGAATTTCCACAAGATGTTCTTGTTTCAAGATTATTCATGATGTCTTACGTCCTTCAGACGTCAGTTGGTGGACAATTTAAGATTTCAGCGTTAGGTACCAATGGGAACAATGACTGCTGCTGTGAGGGCATCCTCAATCAGAATTTCGGGAACCTACGTTACCTGGGATCCACAGGCCCGTAGAACTTCTGTGCTCGGCCTTGCGCGCGTCCTCTCACAGCGTGGCACCGCACAAATTTGCAGCGCCCCTTCCCGACGTCCCGCGCCTCAGGGGCCCACTCCCCACAGCTGTGGTATCCAGACCTATCGCAGCGGGCGTACAGCCTCGGAAATGCGCTTGCGTGGGAGCATTCGCCAGCGTAACCAGCCGGCGGAACAGGCGTATTTATTCCGGCAGGTAGAAAAGTAACACAGGTAGCGATAATCTCCTGTAAAGCTGACAACGCAGAGACGTTTTTGGGTGTTCTGAATGCCTTTGTGAAAACATAAAAACAGGTGACATCTTTGGGAAGCCTTGACAATGGTTCATATCTGGCGCACGTTTAATATTTTTTTCGTAGTGATCCTATGTCTTAATCGTGTATTGGCGCGCTTAAGAGGTGTACGGGGGCTTCGCATTTTTTATTTTTGTCATAGCCAAGCTGCTGAAGTGTTCACCAATAACGAATTAGGTAGACAGGCATAACACATTTATAATTTTAACAGTGGGCTGCATGCTTTATCAGCGGACGATTGAACTTGTACCATGGACAGAAGTACTGGAGAAGCACTATGAATATGTGCTGTGAATGCTCTGGCTTGCCAGTTTGATCCGGGTCAATCTCACTGACTGTGACAGTGATTTTGTCTGAATAAGTCCTTTGTTGCCACTCATGTAGCCACTGATGAGGGTGGAGTGGGGACATCCAGCTTTTGCTAGTTGTTTTGTCTGTACTAATTTGCCCATGGATGCATGCTAGTCATTTTTTCCTTTCAAAATATAAATCTTGGGCCAGCTTGTCCCATCCATAATTAAGTTGGCACAAAACCATTTTTTTGTCCCCAGTTTTAGAGGCTCTGTTTCAGAGACACCCTACACCTGTAATCCAGACAAATGCATTTAGTTGTGTATGCAAGTATCACAACATTTAAGTGAGACGTTTCAATCCAGGCATACACCTGTCCGAGCCAAAATCTGGTTCCATTCTTAAACCATTTGAGACAAGCATGAAAACAACACTATGTGACGTGATGACAATTATTCTACTGAGCAAGCTCATTGTAAATAATCGTCAAAGCTCTGATGAAGTGTCATGAAACATTATTTTGGCTCAAGGTTAGTGTTTTGCTGAAGTTTGAAAATGGTGTGTAATGTGCTTACTTTTTTCAAGACCCATGTGACTGCCACATGCTCTGCATCAAGGGGTAGACTTTCAAATGATCAGACACTGGAGGGAGATTGAGACATTGCTTTCCTGTTTGACCATGGTACCCACTAGTCATGTTCAGTGGGAAGAATTATCCTTCATGAAGAATAAACACAGTTTTGGACTTCTCTTGTCCAGTCAATTTTAAGTGATTAATCCATGCTCCGACTTTTCATTAATTTTAGACACTGCTGTGTGTAATCAATGTCTCTTCCAAGCAATCAGATGGGTGCTTATTGTGTGCTGTAAAAACAAAGGTAGCTAACATCATAATAAGCTGGTATTTTTGAAGGGCTAAGGTTTTTTGCAATGAAAAGGAAGATAGTGGTAAGTGGTATCTGGTAAGTGGTCTCTGGTCTGATGTGGGAAGGAGCACAGTTTTAAAACAGTTTTGCCTCCCTGCTCTATGCATGTATTCTGAAATTATGTCATACCATCATCAAATCATGTTGAGAGGTGGGTTGGAGTCTTATTTAGGGGCCCAGTCTGCAGGGATGGGCCTTCAAATAACAGTCAGAGGGCTCTTTATGACGATCTGGGACCTCCTGAATCGATATGGGTCTATGTGTCAGTCAGGCACCACCAGTACCGCGCAGTCGCGTCCGTGTCGCTGCGGGGCCACTTCCCAAGCAGCGACAAAGCCGGGTGTAGGGAATCACACACATGCACACACTGGTCAGGGGCCTTGCATCTGTCAAGGGTCCACAGCGCCTATCAGGTCCTGCGCTCGCAAAAGGGCCCCTAGCCGACCAAGGGAAGTGTTTGATGAGACCTGAAGAGGAGCCCGGGCGGCCGACTGGAACCGACGATCAAAGGCCCGGTTGAAGGGCATGACGGTCCGAAGGACTGGTTGTAGGTCGCATCAAGAACCGCGGCCCTTAGAGTCATCACCTGACATATCAGTTACAGGCTTGGCGAGGGGGCACAGGGTTTACAAAGTGCCCCCTAATGCTTTTCTTTGATATATATATATATATATATATATATATATATATATATATATATACTAAACAAAAGCATAAGGGGGCGTACATATACATATATATGTATATAGATAGATATAGATATAGATATAGATTAGATATAGATAGATAGATAGATAGATAGATAGCTATATATATATATATATATATATATATATATATATATATATATATATATATATATATATATATGTGTGTATAGATAGATAGATATAGATATATATATATATATATTATATATAGAGAGAGAGAGAGAGGGAGAGAGAGAGAGGGAGAGGAGAGAGAGAGAGAGGGAGAGGGGGAGAGGGAGAGGGGAGAGGGAGAGGGAGAGGAGAGGGAGAGGGAGAGGGAGAGGGGAGAGGGAGAGGGAGAGGAGAGGGAGAGGGAGAGGGAGAGGGAGAGGGAGAGAGATATATATATATATATATATATATATATATACATACGTGTGTATATATGTTAACTCTTCACCAGTGGAATAGTGGAATAAATAAAACTCAAATAGAAGCCAGCCGCTACCACGAGATTAATTCTGTTTGATGTTAATAGCCAATAAGCGGAAAAAATAGTGCATGAAACGATCGCACCCAACAAATCGTCGGCGCTCTTTCTTACAATGGTCCAGTTGACTAAATAAACCGATAGAACTAACTAAACCGACTTGAACTAAATACTAACTAAACTACTAAACTAAAACTAAACTAAAGACTAAATAAACCGATGAATGTTCGGCGTTCAGTTAGAATCCGCTAGTGATTCAATTGAAGTGACATAGTTTTGAGCAAGCCCTCTCGCATATCTTGGCAACAAAAACCTCGACGCCAGGCGTTGCAGTCTCTATAGGCCGCGCAGCGTCGGCCCTATGGTAGCGACTAACAGATGGAGGAAAATGATGACGTGATGAATGATGACTGCAATGACGCCAATGCGGGCGTCATTGCAGGCAAGCGAACTATCGGCACCCGGCGTGCAGGCTCAAATATTTGTTGTTTCTAGTTTCACTAGTCGATTCTGCAAAAGAATGAACAGTCTCAAGCAAACATGGGATGGCCGTGTGCGTTTTTGAACTCATTTCGACCCACTTCATTATACTCTAATGATGCTCCTTATTTCTTTCCGGGAAAGGGGCCCCTTTGAGTCGAACACTATGGGGCATATGAGTGTTCCCGGTCAAGGGCTGAAGGGCCATTCTGTCTCGCCGCGGTGCGTCTTCCGGCGGTTCGTCTTCCGCGGTGCGTCTTCCGTAAAATTCGGGAAGAATTGATCTGGCAGTAGCTTCCTGATTCCATTTCAGTCAGTGAAGGTAAATTGAAAAAGTGTCGAAGAAAAACATGCGGCTAAGTTCGGTGATTTTTTTTGCGAGGGGGATTTCTATTTTGTATCAGGGTGCCCCTCGACAACCCTGTGCTCCCATGAGCCCTGACTGGCGCCTGCTCTGTATATATGCTTGCCAAGGCCTGTTGACCCACCGCATTGGCAACGAACAAGCCGTTTCACAAGCGAGTGAAAATGAGCATGCATGTTTAGAAAGCTATGCTGAGGTGCGGGACAGCTTTCAACGGTCGGCATGCGTCTGGGTGCAGGAGTACTGGATTATCAAACATTTTATGTGGAAGCTTACACTCTGCTGAGCCGTGTGGATCAGCATACCCATGGATTAGGCAAAAAGTTGGGATCTTACATCGCTGAGCGCATCAGCAGACAGGAGCTCAGCAATAAGGCCGAATGGGGGGAGTAGTGCGAGCATGGGCCAGGGTGTCAGCCCAATTTTAAGAACACGTAGCATTGCTGGTATGGACATTTACTAAATAAAGAAACAAGAAGGGCTACCGGCCCTCCAACCTGGGATAGATCTGGTAACCCACTTTAGTAGGTAAAATCCTTGCCGTTTGACAGGACGCGCTGTAGTCGTCGGTGTGTCGTACAATCGCACGGTGTGAATAACTTGGCTGTAACCACTGTCATTCACTGTAATCACTGTAACGGTGACGGCGCATCGTCGTGTGGATGCACAGTTCCGGTTCTGAAGCCGTTTTTCGCTACCATTGACCAACGGCGGGAGCGTTCGTCTACGGCGCTCTGTGCCATTGTTATCAGGTCCAGTGGTGACCGAGCCCAGTGCCACATTGGACGGCTGTGGGCACGGCACGTGCTTGATTGAACTGCTGCATAGTAAATATTACTTTGATCTGCAGAAGTTAATATATGCTTTGCACTGACAGCGTTTCTTGTAAGATAATGGCAAATCATTTGAATAAAGTCGAGGAAGAATGAGAAACATTGTATAGCACGATCAGTTTTGGATGCTATCAACACACATGTATGCTTGTGCCTGCGCTTATGGACATTTTCGAGCACTTATTACGGTTCCCAGTTTGTGTGCACCTGTCCCATGAAATAGATTCAGTGCAGCGTTCTGCAAACACCGCGGAGTTTTTTGAGCAACAGATAACGCATCCATTCAAACATTTGTAAACAATCGTCTTAAAATGCACTAGATCTCTTGTGATCCTGGCTGGAGTGGTGCTGAATGCTGATAACAATCAACTTCAAGAAGCGGTTCGGCGCGCCTACCTTTGCGACATCCTCAACCTCACAGCAATAATTATATTACAACTACATTAACATTATACAACTACAGCTGCATCATGTTAATAATTTAAGGTAATTCCTACATCAACCTTAACAAAGACTGCAACTGAAAAACAACTGGTCGTGTGGTGTGGCCGAATTCTCAGAAAATGTTGAACTAATTGTTCGTCTTCAAACAACGCTCAGCTTTACTCAGGCATTCAATACACAACCACACAGCACGAGTCTTGTTTGTCATTTTCAATACCTGTACCGCTCAGCCAACTTAACATCCACAGACCTTGTGACGTCATAAGAGCAACAAAAACTATCGGGGTTGGAACCAGTGACTGCTCT